CAGTCAAATTGATACAAAGTTTTCTATCTAAGGAAAACCAGTTGATTGTGTCGACTCATTGACTCTTCAGCAATCCCTCACACTAAGCATGCTTGTAGCGACAGTGGAGAGGAAAAACTCCCTTTTAACAGGAAGAAACCTCCAGCAGATCCAGGCTCAGTGTGAGCGGCCATCTGCCGAGGCCGACTGGGGTTCAAGGAGACAGAAGCAGAGATAGAAAAAGCAGCTGTAAAAGGCGGCCCGGGTCAGGAAACACACAGCCAGGCAGACGAGCTCCGAGCCAACTCCTACGTCAGAGGATGAAGAGAAAACATCCAGGCAGTCACAGTGAGAGAAACAGGACTACACTGGAAAAACAGGCTGCTCTCCAACATCTATAAACAAAGGTGTTGATGGCAGCAGCACAGCTGATATTTCTCTCCAGCTCAACATTAATGACCTGACCGTCGTACCTTCCATCTTCTGGTGCAGCAAAAAAACTCAAATGAATGCATTATGATAAAGAAAAAATAAAAAGTTAAGCAAATTCTCTTTTAAAATTCTATTTGTTAAAAAAAAATAACATACTTTCTGAGCTGAAAAGATTCTGATTCTTTTATTTCTATTTTTAAATTTCGGTTAAAATATTCTTCAGAAAATCAGAAGCTTCTAAGACTGGAATTGGATGTTATCCTAAACTGTTGTTTAGTTCTTAAATATTTTAACCTCTATAAAGAGTTTTTGTAGAGCATCTAAACAGCCACAGGTTGCAGAGCCTGTTTTAACCATTTTAGTTAAAGGTAGCAAACAATAAAATAACTTCTTCATTGTTCTCCTTTTGTGTTAAATTGTTTCTTTCTGTTTCTCTAATGAATGAATCAAATACATTAAATAATAAGCTGAATAGTGAGGAATAATGAGCTAAAATAAAAAAAATGTTAAACATAAATGACCCTCATACAGGAAGTTTTTTATATTTCTTCTTTTAAAAAGTGTTTTTATATATATTTGGTGCTTAACGAGGAAAACAATATAGACATTTTAGAAATTCTATCTGATTCCTAATCTTTTCAGTTTAGCTGTACTGTTTTGGTGTGTTACCATGACGATCAGCATCAGTAATCAAATAAAGAGATAGATAATTTCTTCTTAATTCAAACTAAATTTAAAGTCTTTAAAGTTGAAATGTAAAAAAACAGAATAAAAAAAATAAATGTTTGGAAAAGTTTAAACTGAGGCTACATTCACACTGCACCCAGATCCGATTTCTTTTTTTGTCCATATGCAACCTGTATCTGATCTTTTCATGACCGTCTGAACAACATAGATCTGATTTTTTTTCCAATGTGACCCAGAACACTTGGCCATGTGGTCCTAAATCCGATATGAATTAGATTTTTTTCAAATGCAACCTGTATCTGAACGGGCAGGTTGCATTTATCCGACCTGAACGCCATTATTACTCAATAAACGTCACTATTCTGTGTCTTCCTACACAAAAGAGGGACGAAAAACAACAACCATGGTGGACGATGATGCAGAGAGCAGTATTTATGGTTAACCATCTTGAAAAGATTAGTTTGGGAAAGATCCCTAGATGCGCTCTAGCGCTACCATCCATGTTTACTTTCGTAAACTCGGAGAACGCTCGCTTATGAAGTCATTGCGACCTCTACTGTCAGTTGTTTGAATTCAGTTCACACAGGAGATCACATACAAGTCGCATATATCTGGAAATTTGAACAGCAACAAAAAAAAAAATTGATCATTAAGGCCTGCAGTTTGAACGTAGCCTGAAAATAAAAAATGAACAGAAAATAAAAATCACAGAAATTTTGCTTAAATATCAACTATTCATGTCGCTTTAGATCAAACTGAATTATAATCTTCAGATTTTAACTCGTTTTGAGTACCGTATTTTCGCAACTACAAAGCGTATATAAAAGTCTTTTTTTTTCCCTCAAAATGTGCGGC